CCTGGAGGCAGGAAGCCCCGAGTTTAAATCTGGCCTCAGATATTTACTAGCCATGTGACCCTGGGCAAATCACTTAGATTCCATGTCTCAATTTTTCTCATCTCTAAAATGGGGGACTATAATAGTACCTATCTCCCAGTGTTGTTGTGAGGATAAAACAAGATATTAATAAAGCACTTTGCAAACTTTTAAGTGCTATATAAACACCTGTTATTATAACAGGCTAGTATTGTTCTTTTAAGTATTTTTAGGCTAACTGTTCTAGGAAGAATTTATTTCTTAACTAAAAACTTTATTTTATTCAAACTGGAATAATGATAATAATAACAACAATAATTCAAAAAACACTTATTAGGGGCTCACTATGTGCCAGGCACTGTGGACACATATAATTGACTTTTATATGGTACCTTAAAGTCTGGAAGTCACTGTATACAAATTATCTCATTTTAACCTCACAACAACCCAGCAAATCTCTCTATTTTACAGAAGAGAAAATTTAGTTTCAAAGGGGTTAAGTCACTTGCCATGGCCTTCTAGTTCACAAGGTCACGCATACATCTAGAAATGGAAAGGACCTCAGAGGGTGTCTAGTAACCTCCTGATTTTACAGATGTGAAGACCAAGGGAGTTTACATAACTTACTCACGGTCATGTAGGTGTAGTAGCATCACTGATGCAAGTGAAGTGAGCAGAACCAGGAGAACATTATACGCAGCACTATCTAAGTTGATCATCTGCGAATGACTTGTCTACTCTGATCAAGACAATGGTATAAGACAATTCCAAAGGACCCATGATGAAAAATGTTATCCACCTGCAGAGAGAAAGCTGATGAACTAAGTGCAGATTGAAGCATTTTTTTCTTTATTCTTGTTTTTTGTTTTGCATGACTTCTTATGTATAATGGGTATATTTCTTGACTTATCAATGGATGGTAGAGGGGTGCAAGGAGGGAGAGAATTTGTAATTGAAAATAAAAACAAAAACAAAAAAATGAAGCTATCATCGGTCTCTGGTACCCAGGTTCTTTCTGTGTACAATGCTGCTGACTCCAAGTCCCACACTTTACCCACTCCATTTGTACTGGCTCTGTGTATGGATAAATAAACTCCCTCAGTTACTTACTAGCCTTATTTGTTAATTTCCCCCAATTGTCTCATCTTTCTTACTCATGCTTGTTATTAGCAACTACTAATATTTATATAGATATTTTAGATTTATGTTTTTATAATGCTTTAAGGTCTTATCCTGTAATCTTGTTTGTACGTGGTGGTTTGAATGTTGTCTCCTTCATTACAATGTGAACTACTTGCGGTGAGATGCTATTTTTGCCTCTTTTATCCCGTTTTAGCACAGCGCCTGGCACATTGTAGGTGCTTAATAAATGTGTGTTAACATGACTTTTGTAGTATTCACTCCACAACACTATTACTATCCATATTTTCCAGGTGATGTACCTGATGAATTCAATTTCCTGATATTTTACTTTTCAATAATAGTGGTGAGACTTAGAATGGACTCCTTTTCAAGTGGTCTAAGTATACAATACTCTGCATCTGGCCACTATTGTTTTTCTGGCATCAAAAAACACCTTTAAAATAATCTTAAAGCACAGTGCAGATAATATTGAAGCTGCTTTCTATGCAAATAATTTAGAGACAACTTATTTTTAGTGATATCTTTTGCTTTTATACATCTTTCATTTCTGAGTTCATTCCCTTCCTTACTCAGCAAGCTATTCCTTGAAATAAATATTTAAAAAAGAAAGGGGAAAAAAGCAGGTCAGCAAAATAAACATCAGTCTTGTCTGATGGTACATGCAACTTCCTACCATAGTCTCCCACCTCTGCAAACAGGGAAAGCATTTCATTTTCTGAAGCCTTCTCCGGGACCATGGTTGTCATTATGCATACATGGCAGTTTTTTGTTGTTGTTGTTGTTGTTTTGTTCTTTGTATTTTCTATGTTGTACTCATTGTGTACATTGTCTTCCTGGTTCTGCTTACTTCACTCTGCAACAGTTCATGCCTTTTGATGCTTTTCTGAATTCTTTATAGGGAATACAAGTTTCACTGTTAAGAGAAAGGCTAATTTTAAAGGAAATCAGATAAAAACCCAAAGAACAGGAAAGCTAATCCTTTTTGCTACTGTCCCAGAGCACAAAGAAATGTCTAGTTGAGTCAAAAAATCTCTTTAGGCAGTCTGTTCAACTATGCTGATCATTTAGAGGAAAATCAAGGAATTTTCAAATGATAACAGCCTAACCACAGGCCCCAAAAGAAGCAGCAGCTCAGGAAACTATTGGCTTTCTTAAATTACTTTATAGAACACTGATAATTGTTTCTTTCTTTCTTTTTTTTGGCTACATTTACAATTTTTTAATTTTTATTATCTTAAGATTTGCAGTGTGTTTTATAAATATCATCTCATTTTATCACACCAACCTTGAGAGGTCCTATTATCATCCCCATTTTATTTTTAACATTCACTTAAAAAAATTTTGAGATCCAAATTCTTTCCTTCCCTCTAGCCCCTTCCCCACCCATTGAAGAGGCAAGCAATAGGATATCAATTATACATGTGAAGTCATGCAAAACACCTATTAACCATGTCACACAAAAAAAGCAAGAAAAATAAAGTGAAACAAGTTGTTTCAGTCTGTTCTCAAGACTTCATCAGTTCTCTTTCAAAGTAGATAGCATTTTTTCATTACGAGTCATTTGGAATTGACTGACAACTGTTTCTAATAACTTTTACATTATTTTAAAATTAAGTATGTTAGGTCCATATCAATTTAATGCCTAGTATTTTAAAGGAAGAAATGCTGGAGTATATTAGGAATCAAGAGTTTATCAGGGGAAAATTTTCTCAGAACTGGAAAATCCCAGTGATGGGAAAAATAAATACTGAGGTATTTTATACAGACAGCTCTTGACTGATATATATATATATACCACTTGAAATATGAACATTTTCACAGAAATAGTGCTAGAGATGTTAAATTCCTGGTTTAGTAAAAAAATCTGAATTCAGATACGGGATCCAACAATCTTCTGTTCTTAAGTCCACAATTTCTCTTGCATTCACTCTCTTCATAATATTCAGAGTTACCATCTTAGTTTAGACAATCATTACCTCTTACCTGGACTATAATAACTTCATAACTGCTCTCCTTGTCTCCAGTCTCCCTTCCCACCCCAAATCATCATCCCTGCTATTTTTAAAGCAGCTGTGAAGAATACCATAGAAACAATTAAGGGAGAATAAAAGGATTTCTGAGCACCAGTGAAGGCCCAATTGAGGCTTCTTAAATTGATTACATTACTCCCTCCCTCTTCAACAAAGGACCTTGTGTCACTCTGCTGAGAAAATTGAGGCCATTTAGACTAAGCTTCATATTTTCCTGTATTGTACAACTCAAAACCTCCTCGTTACTATTCTTCTTTCTCTCTTCCTTCGCTCTAATCTGTGATGAAGAGATAGTCCTTTTTGTCAAGCTCATCCTCTACTTTTACTTCCAGGAACTTACCCATCTGTCATTATCCTATCTTCTTTAATTTCAATCATGCCAGATATGTGAGAACATTCCATGCTTAGAATAAAACAAAATAAAAAACCAACTCTGCAAAAACTTCACGATTCTATCCCCTCAAACTATTCCTGATGTTTCACCTCATTCACAACTCAAAGGATCCAAACACCACCATTTAACTGAAATTGTCTTTGCGAATGTTATCAATGTTAACAATCTCTGAATTTGTCTTTCCTGAGTCCTTACCCTCCTTGACCTCTTTGGCTTCTGACAGTTGACTTTCTTGTACACACATCATAATTCCTTCTAGTCCTTTTGGCTTCCATGATACACTTGTCTCTGATTCTGTTGTCTTATCACCGCTCATCAACCATTTCCCGCTTCCTTAGCATGGCTATTCCTCGGGGTTGTCATAAACCTTCTACACCTTCTGTCTTGGCAAATTCATCTGCCCCCATTGATTCAAGAACAACTCCCAATCTCTTTATCCAACTTTAATCTCATCCAAATTACTGTAAAGCTCTTAAAATGGTCTCTCTGCTTGCAATCTCTCCCTTTTCCCATCATGTTCAGCTACCAAAACCTAAAGCAAAGGTCTAACCATGACACGTCCACTCAAACTGACAGTTAAGTCACAGTACGGCTCCCACTTAACCTTTTCCTCCTCAAGACACACTAATCTTCATGAACTCTGTGTTCTAGCCACACAAGACTACTGGCTATTCCGTGAAACTGACACTCCATAATAAATGTCTACTTCTGCACAGAGTAGTTACTGCCCATGCTTGGAATATACTCCCTCACCTAGGATCTTTCCTTCAAGGCTCACTTCAGCTGCCGCCCCCTCAATGAAGGGGTCTTCCCTGATCCCTCCCAGTTCTTGTTCTTCCTTAATCTCCCTTGTTTTGTACTAATTTGTGAATATGTCACATAGTAGAATTTAAGATCTTTGGGTGCAGAACAACAGTGCCATTTTTGTCTCTGGATCTCAAGTGACTAGCAGACCTTGAACATAGTAAGCATTTAAGATAGATTTTGATAAACTGAGCATAGCCTCTTTAATTTTTTCTAGAAATGCTTACAGTATGTTTACCCATTCAAATTAATTTTCTAGTTGTTCAAATGTCAGTGTAACTGTAAAAGTGAGGTTAAAAAAAAAAAGGCAATGTCGGAAAAGGCATTTTGAGGCAGCAGCCACCTCTGAGATTCTCTGATAAGCTGCAAATTTTTTCCATAATGAATCTCATGGTAGTGACAGCAGCAGCCCAGGTCACTTGTAGGCATGGGTCCTCAAACTATTCTTCCATTCTATAATTATATCTTCATGTCTCTCAGGGTCAATAAAATATCTTCTATAAATCAGTGGTCATAATATTTTTAATGTTGATAAAAAGCCAGAAACAGCAACAAGCAAGATGATTTACTATTTTTAAATGTAAAAATGTATTTATTCACAACTTGAGAAGTTGATTCCATTCCTGCCAAAAAAGTCTATAATATGGACAAAATGCCAAGAAAAATTAGACAGTAGCTTATGCCAAAACAAAAATATACATCTGATGTATACAAACTTTAAAAAGCAATATTACAGGCAGTATGAATGCAAATTACATTTAAAATATCTTTAAATGACACAGCTACAAACTTAAATTATGGTAAAACTTATAATAATAATCACATCTTTAATGAAATATATTTACATATTCAGTCAGTGTCTTAGTTCTGCAAGTTAAAAAAGGAGACGAATTTACAGATACCCTTGCTTATCACAGAAGTTAAAATATTTGAATGGCCATATGATTTTTAAAAATACAGCAAGAACTTACATCACTATTGCATCTTAATCTTCCTATGGTGTTAAGGAAGTATATTACCATTGTTACATGGAAAAAAATTACTAAGGAAACTACATGTCAATTTAGCTACTGAAATTATACTAGATTCCCTAGCAAAATAAAGAAATGCAGCCCAATTTGAGGGTATTTTGCTCATTTAACAAAGTGGGAAAAAGAAAGGCCAAAGTGCAGGGTGTCCAAAGACCTTGTTGGTGTTTTAAAGCTATTAAAGCTGCACTAAGACTTTGGGGATACCCTGCAGAACCCTAGCAGCAGTTATAGCTTACAACTCATCTAGCTTTACTTCCCAGAGCACCTTCCTTTATCGTACATAAAACAAGGCAAAAAAAAAAAAAAAACGAAATAAAATCTGTCATTTCATGCAAGAAAAAACTCTTCAAAATACCCGTATTATTTCTTTTTAAGAACTCTCATGTTATTCATTCATAGAGAATTTAGTCCTTTGTGCAAGCTTTTTATTTTAATATTATTCCAAACTCATCCAATGTAGACTTAAAAAAATAACTTACTTAGAAATTGAAAATACAATCTAAAGTAAATACTCCCTTTGTAGCAGTATGTAACTCTTTTTTAAGTGGAACACTTAAGCTCTATCCTCAATTTTGTGTCTGATCTTTAGCAATTTAAAAATGTCCAATTCTGAGGGTAACCACCTCTTCCAGGCCTCATAACAATCCTGTTCAGAGATAATATCATGAACATGCTATCATATCAATTTGATAGAAATGAATATTAATGCTCTGTCAGGTTTACTGAACTCTAATTGTGCTAGTATAGAATGATTAAATTCAAACAAGTTATAAAAATAGAGAAAGCTTAAAAAACTTTCAGGAAATAGTGCATTATCTGAAGCTGCTAATTACTTCCCTTTATGGCTGCTGAGAAAAACAAATAAAATATTATATTATTTTCATGTTCAGATACTGAAATAAGTAGATAATTTTAAAAGCAATATTAGATCCATGCAAAGAAAACAAAAATGCCAGTTTTTTAAAAGGAAACAAATTCAATTGACAGACACTAAATTGGAACACATAAATTAGAGCAGATAGCTCTTAATCATAAAATCTAAGAGTTGGAAGGGACCTCCGAGGTCATCCAGTCCAAATGGTACCTGAACAAGAATCTTCTTTACAACATATTCAGAAGCATGACAGAATCATGATGAAATTGCACTTAATTCTGAATTTAGATAGATTCCATCATTCCTATTCCTTGCTATTGAATATTTACCACATCATTTCTTTCTTCCTTACAAAAAGGCTCAGAACAAACATTTATACATTCTATTAGATTTTCAACATTTGGTCATGACTGACAAAAAGGCCAGATGATCTCACCCTATCTGTCTTGCTGATCTGCTTCCGATTTTTTTAACTCAGAGGCAGACAGTTCTAAAACGGGATTCACAAATCCAGAATATTCTGAATTGCCATTGTTGTCCATTTCGGCGCTAACGAAATCATTCTCCCACTCCAGCCCATTAGAATCATCAGAAGCTGAGGTAGGATTACTTCCAGTCTTCTTGCTGCTATATTTTAATGCTGCCCGTAGAATATCCTCTTCAGTTTTGGAACGTTCTCTCAATGGGACCATTCTATTCATTCCTATTGTTTGAAAAAGAAGAAGTTCAAAGAAACAATAAACTGGAAACAAAACAGGTGCCCATCAATTAATGGAATGGCTAAACAAATTATGATACATGAATGTCAATAGAAACCTGGGAAGATTCAATTGTACCGACGCAAACTGAAATGAACAGAGTCAGGAGAACTATTTTTATAACGACTACAACACCATAAATAAAAACAGCTCTGAAGGACTTAAGAAGATTGTTGGGAGGAGAGTGGTGCTAGAAATACTTTAAAAAAGTAAAGAGTATCAATAAAACTTTTTTTGTTAAATACACAGAATGAAATCCAGAGGGAGACAGAGATGAACAAGCAGGATAGTTTTTGAAATAAAGTCTTGAATTTGTGGTATATATTTTTAAAATAAAAAGCGATGTGATAGTTTCCATATATAGTGTTTTTCTTCTTTGTATATGGAAATATGGATGCCTGCCAAGTTTGGAATAACAAAAAAGGGATTCTACTGCTGGAATTATGGCTTAAGAAAAATGGAATTCTGATGCCACTAAGAAAAATTCTTGATTTTGATTTAAAAAACGAATGATTATAAACTGTGTTGACCAATAAACAAATTTTACATTTGATTGTATTTAAATGTGAAATACATCCCATAAAATGTTGTAACTTATCTTCTCCCTCCCTCTCATCAAGTAACAAGCATTTATTAAGCACTAACTATATACTAGGCAGTATGCTAGATGCAGAGGATACAAGTACAAAAACCAAAACAATCCCTACCTACTCAAAAGGGGATTCTTTGCCCATTTATATACCATTTATTTATTTCCTTTTACATGGTTTTAGTGTGAATTTCTTTTCCTTTTTATTATTTCATAAAGGTGTTATATTTATTTATATTCCTTCTTAACTGTATTACAGTATTCTGCAAATGTACCATGATCAGTTTAATTTCTCCATATTGTTGGACATTTAGGTTTTTTCTGTTTGTTTGTTTTTTTTTGTTTTTTTAAATTACAAATGATGCTGCTACAGAACAACTTTGAAGAATATTTACTATTTGTGTGTGTTTTACAACAGTTTGAGGACATAGTCTCAGAAACGGAATTCTGGAGCCAAAGAATGAGTACGTACTGAAAGACTGGTTTCCACAAAGATTTTAAGTTTGCAATGTCACCAACCAGGAATGATTAGAACTGTTTTCCCACAATCTTGCCAGAACTGAATTCTGCTGCTTTTGATTATTTTCTTGCCAATTTGATGTATGATGGTGTACCAAAAGTTGGTTTAATTTGTATCCCTTTGATTATTAATGGGGTTATGCATTTTTCCAAGTAATTATTAACACGATGGTTTCCTCTTTTGAAAACTGCCTATTCATATCTTTTAATCATTCATCAACTGTGGCTGGGAGTTATCTTTTTTCAAAAATAGTTCTTCACATATTTTAGATGTCAAGTTTTTATCTATCATATTTGCCACAAGTGTTTTCCAATCTTTTTTCTTTTAATTATATATTTTGCATGTACATTTTTATTTTTTGTTATGAATATCTGTATTTTCCTTTAATTCCTTCTATTTGTTGAATATAAAAAAGTAATTTCCCTTCCTCTTTAAGGTAAATACATTATTCTACTTTCCTCTATACTTTTTATAATTCTTTTTAATGTCTATTATCTAGTTGTAATTCAATAGTATACATGGTATGAGTGCAGATTGAAATTAATTTCCCAACAAATCGCAACCCAATTTTCCAATGGACATTTGTTAAATCATTATTCTTTTTCTCAGAGTTTATTTTTCATAGGTTTAACCAAACATTAATCCTTTGTATACATTTGGTTGGATATCTGGTATGTCTATTTTATTTAACATTTTTCTCTCTATGTTTTGGGCCCAGTATTAGCGAATTTTGATAGTGGCTAGTTATCTTAGGTACTTCTTTATTTTGATCACAATAGTTTCTCAATTGTTCTTACACAGATCCTCCTAATCTTAAGGGAGTAATTCCCAAACATTTGAAGGTTTTTGTTATGATTGGAATTGGGTTTCCTTTTTATGTTATATTTGTTGATCTTTATTAAAAGCAAATAATGTTGTGGGTGATTTTTGTGGGCTAATTTTGTATCTCATAATTTTGCTAAACATTTATTTATCATTATTTTTTTTTGATGTTATTGTTGTTGAAGCTGGGATATAATTTGCATCTAAATATCTGATGACAGGAAACTTTGGATGAGTGATGAATCTGGAATTTTTAAAAAAGCACAAAAAAATCCCTTATTCTAATCAAATCAAGTATTTCAGTACAAAATACTGGTAGCTAGCACTTATATGGTACTTTAAGGTTTGTAAATGCAAACTTGATTTGACCCTCACAACAGCCCTGGGGGAGGTGCTATTATCATCACTACTTTATAGATGAGGGAAGTGAGGTTGAGAAAAATTAAGTGACTTGCTCAAGGTCACACAGCCATTAAGTGTCTGAAGATGATTTGAATTTAGGTCTTCTTGATTCCAAATCCAGTGCTCTATCAAATGTGTCACCTAGCTGCCTAAATTGAAGAAAGAAAATATTGTCCACATTGTTGGTGACAAGTATGAGAGCAACATCCCTAGCTGCCAATTCCAGGTACACACTGGTTTATTTGGTCACAGCTCATGATTTCTTTAAAACAGAACAAAACTACACCGTACCGACATATTTCTGTACCAGGTGACAGTAAGGGAGACTCAAGTTCATGACATAGACACCCCATTCTTAAGGAGCTACATGTATATGCATTATGAATCAATTACATAAGTTAAAATGCATTTAAAGTAGATTAATAACAGAACTCCAATAGTAACATAATTTGTTAAGCCAAACACTAATATATCTTTGAACTTCCTTAATTTTAAAAGATCTCATACTTTGATGGTTTCCATACCTGATTATTTTAAGTACAAACAACTTTGGGGAAAGGAATTTTTAAAAAATCTCTATGTTTACAGGCTAGCATCTCAATTCTAAATTTTGGGAAACAAGTAAAATCAGATTTACTTTTGAATATATATCAGACTTAGGAAAATTTAGTCTTAAAAGGCAAATAATTCCCATCAGAATTGCAAAATGCATTACTATCATATCCTTTCCTCTGGTCTACGGTCCTTTCCATTGTTAATATTCTATAACTATGTTGTTCATGTTTCATATTTAATTATCTACCTTCCCTGGCTTGTAATGAATTTTTTAAAACACAATTTGACTGAGTTCCACTCCGGCCTCAGACACATAACACTTACTAGCTGTGTGACCCTGGGCAAGTCACTTAACCCCACTGCCTAGCAAAAAACAAACAAACAAAAACAAGACTTCATGTTTCCTTAGTAAATTGTATTTAAAACACTCGAATATTAATTGTCTTAAAGTATAAACACCACAAACAAATCTCTCCTGTTTCTCAGAAATAATAACTAACATTGGATTTTATGCAGCAAAGTCAATTACAAAATAATTTAAAACAATTAAATCGTTGATTTTAAATTTACCAACTGGTAAAAATGGTTAGAGCTAAGTCTAGTCTCTGAACATCAATATGATCATGTTATCCACAAGTGGGCAGTATTTAGTCATGATTAGAAAATCAGTAACAGGAATTTACTTTCACTTCTCCAGCCGTAAGAAATTATTTAAAAATTTTTATGGGCTATATCATAACCAGTAATAAAACTGTAAAGAAAATTCCAATTCTGGGCATATATTTAAAGGAAATAAACAGGTACCATACAGAACAAAATATTCAGAGGCAGCACTTTCTGTGGCAAAAAAAAAAAAACCCAGTATTTTGTGGTAGAAAAAACAAAGAAAAACCAAAATCAAAAACTCCCAACAACTAGAAACAACATGTATTTTTTTAAAATTGGGAATGGATAAACCAATTGTGGCATATAAAAGTAATCAAATATTGTTACACTTATAAGAAATGCCAAATAGTGGAAATTAGGGAACTATGGAAAGACCTGTATCAAGTGATGGGAATCAAGTAAGCAAGGACCAAGAAAACAATTTTAGAATGAAACACTGAAGAAAAATCAAATGTGATGAAACTGTAATGACCTGTCTTGACCCTGGAGAAAAATGAGGAAATCTATCTCTTTCCATTCTTTGGGAAGAGAAGGAAGCAGCATGGGAACATGGCTTAAGAATGCTGCATATGCTGTCAGTTGTGGTCACTGTGTTGGTTCTGCACAGCTGTCTTTATTTGGACAAGTGAAAGTTTTACCAAGTGGGAAGAATATACAGAAAACTAATGTATGAACAAAAGGCATCAATAAAACTTGAATTTTTAAAAAGAAAATCATTTCAGGCTTTTGCTGAATTTACCAGATCTCCTAAGAAATAAAAAGGAAGATATTGGAAGAAAATTGGCCTACAGTACTTGCATTTTTAAAAATAGGAAATTGTGAATTACTAAATTATTACCTTCTTCATCTTCCCACTCTAGATCGAGTGATGTGCTGTCATCATTTCCACTTGTTGATTTGGTTTTGGTCATTAAGTCACAACTACTTTCTGTGTTTGGTGTCAAAACTGTGGCCTCTGATGAAAGTCCTAGATCAAATGCCAAAATAATTAAAAACTGACACCTGTAACCATTCTGACCACAATAACAATCATTACGGCAACAACCACCCACTTTTAACAAAGCACTTTAGAGTTGAGAAAAAAATTTTTTTTCAACAACACCTGCAGAGTGTAATAAGGCTCAGACGTAAAACAACCCCTCCACAATCACACGGCTACCATGTGGCACTCGGCCTCTTGACATGAATTCAGTTCAGTGCCTTTTCTACAATACCACAATGCCTCTTTTCAAATGTAACAATTTAGTTTACAACCTCATTCTGTTTATATGATGATTCCTTTTTTAATGATCACTTATCTCAGAATTCTAAGGATGATTCAGTCCAAATTATAAATAAGGATAGTGAGATTCCTCAAGATGAAGTCATCTAACCAAACAGCTAAGCAGTCTCCTCACTCCCATGATCTCATTATTTCTAGATACACGTCAACTCCATGGCATCCCTACCTTGTGTTTCTCTAGAATTTTTACATTAGAAACATCTATGCTGGATGCTTCTACAATGGAACCTCGCTAGCAAATTCTTGGTACCTCTCTACTTGTAACATTAGAGATGGAAACCAATCAAAGGATCTGAATGACTACTTCCATTTTTTTTTTTAAACCCATGGCCCTCATCCCACAATGCTAAACTATTCTGACACAAGGGGACAAAAAGTATAGAAGTCATACCCACTGACTAGGGTATTGAAGAGAACTTGAGTAATCTGATGGTGCCAAGCTGGAGAGTAGGCTCTTTGGGGGACACCCCTTCCCCCTGCAGGATATGAACATCACTGGACCTGAGGCAGTGGTATCCTTACCCCTTCAGTTTCTGAAACCTTGCCGTAATCTATAATCTTAATTCTGTTCCTACAAGCTCCAGACCTCGGGTGTCTCATGTTAGGTCAGTAAGCCTTCACTTGGGACGTAAAACAAGTCCATGATAAAGGCTCTTAACAGTCCGGGCCCTGGCTTGCCTGCCTTCTGTGGAAACCTTTAAGTCCCCAAATCACTGCAATGGACGAGTGTACAATTCATGGAAGGTTTTCGGGAAAGTTTTAGACAGCTACATTCAACACACATTATAGAGCTTTCACCATTTGCTTCTTCAAATTTTTAAAATTAGATGAACACTTATTTTGCAACTTCAAAAAGACTTAATGAATGAAGTTATATTGAAAAATCTGACAGTTTTAAAGAAAAATAACCTAAAACAGGATAGTTCTGTTTAGGAGCACAATAGTATGAACTTTTTAGATTGAAGAAGAAAAAGCTTTGAACTTATAAACTAAATCTATCAAATAAATATTTACTAAAGTACCAACAGTATCCCAACTAGTATGATAGATGCTAGGATACAAAAATGAAAAATTATAGCTCCTGTCTCAAAGAGACAGAAGGGGGTGCAAAGTACAGAGTAAAATTGAAGCAAGAGAGATATCTGGACAGAATACTAGCAAAATTTAAAAAAGGGAAGATTTAAAAACTAAGTATCACTGAAAGGGTATTTGAACTATTGGTTTTAAACAACTGCTGGGTAAAAACCAAAGAAATATTTGGTTAGGCCAATGAGAAGCTAATAACAGACTGTGAAGTTTACATGAAAAACAGGTTATTACACTTAGAAGAATATTACATCATAAATGAATTGCTGTGAGGCAACCAGAAACAAATTACTACAAGCTTGTAATATTCAGGTTTAAAGAAATTAAAACCAGTGTAGGAGGAAATAAGGTGTTTCGCTGGTTAAAATACAGCTAAAATAAAGCCAAAGGATTTTACTGCTCACAGATCTAGACACAGGAATAGGCCAAGTGGGCAGAGAACAATGACTGTCTCCTTAGCTCCCTTCTGGTCCTTCCATTTATTTCCATGTTAGGTCAGAGGGCATCTTGAGGATTTCTAGGCCTGAGTTGTCTGGGATAGAGGACTATGATCTAAGACCCTAGGCATGGGCCCAGAAAAGTTTTAACATGTCTTAACTTTTTATTTTGTTAGGGGCTATGACAACAAAGCTGTTAGTGTGCCTACAGAAGGGGGAGATTTTTAGCCACTGTGCACACTCTTGCATACTAGACCTGAGAAAGCTAGTTAGATGGTTCTGAAGAGAGGAAGCCTAGAAGCTAGGAGTAAGGAGTGATGCCTAGCCACCATCAGATGGTTTGAGCCCAGTATTACCCGGGGTAGTCCTGGAGGGCGAGGGTTGTGAGATGCCTCCTCAGGGACATCGAGATCTGTGTGTCTGCCCTTCATGACATGTATGATCTCTACGCATATTGGCTTTTTCCCCACTGATGGTTGTCTCTTTCTGTGGGAGCATGTGCCCTAGATTTATGAGAGGCAGCTAGGTAGCACAGCAGGGAGACTGCTAAACTCAGAATAAGGAGGAGATCTGAGTTCAAGCTCGCCTAAACCGCTTACTAGCTTTGTGACCTTAGGCACATCACTTAACCTCTGACACTTAGCTTCTTCATCTGTAGAATCAGGATCATAGTAGCACCTACTTGACAAAGCTGTAGTAAGGAACAAATGAGATAATGTGAAAATAGCTTTGCAAACCTTTTAAGTGCTATGTAAATATTAGTTATTATTAATAGCTACTATTATTGATGACGAGGGTGTTCTACTGCTTCTTTTCTTAAATGAGCATTCATTATGCCTTTGCTCTGAACTACCTGTACCTTCCAGGCCCTTGGGAGCTACGGTTTTGGATGAATATGGATCCACAGAGTATCCTGAAACTGGGGCAGCTGTTCTGCAGATCCCACGTATGAGAGGGAGATACCCGGAACATACAAATATCTGAAACTGCCCATTTCACTTACCTATGGGGAGGTAGAACAGAGACCAGTCTACCCTGAACAGAAATGACAGGATGAAGGAGGAAGTGAGTGCAGAGCTACAAGAAGGGAAATGCTCTGGTTTCTATTGCTGGGCTTTCAAAATAAGACATACTAGAGGAAAAAGTAAATTTAACTTGTGTATTCTGCTAGCTAATTGACCTAAGGGCAATTTGGGTATTTTATTTCTCCACACGCAGTGAGTGCTGTGTAGTGGAAAGATAACCATTAGATTATAAGCTCTCTGAGGGCAGAGATACTATCTTTTGCTTCTTTCTGTATCCCTACAAACAGTGTCTGGCACATGGTAGGCACTTAATAAATGTTTATTGATTGATGGCTACATTTGGAATTAATTGCAGCTGGAAGATTGAACAACTACCTACTACGTGACACTGACTTAGGTCAATTAATCTTTTTGGCTTCAGTTTTGTTTACTTTAAACTGAGGAAGACCGGACCCCATGATCTGATCTCGAAGTATCTTCCAGTTTTAAATCTATGGAATAGAAATAACATTCACTCCTGTCAGCTGTTAGATGGGGTGGACACTAACACACTCACTTGCAATCCTTAAACTGTTTCTGTAACACCAAGTACCCACAGTTACATAGTATATTGGGAAAAGCATGTCCTATAGACCATGCTGCCATTAACCTCTGGGAAAAGCATTTCATGTGCCAAGCACAGCTTCTAACTGATTAAGCTCCACATCACCAGGCCCTGTCATGGGCTCCTGTACATTTCAGTCATGGCACTGACAAGCTAGAATGCCTCCATCGGAGGATAAAGACAGTGAAGGCTGAAAACTTTGCCATACAAGGACCAATGAATCAATAAGCATTTATTAAGCCCCATCTACCAGGCATGGTGTCAAGAATTGTGGAACACAATGACAGAAATAAAAGTCTCTATTCTAAGGAACATCATGTGAAGGAACCAGGGTTGCTTGGGCTAGAGGAAAAAAAAAGAGCTATTGAAAAGCTAACATGTGGAAAAGAGATGAGCCATTTTCTGCTTGGTCCCAGAGGGAAGAACTAAGAACAGCTAGTGGGAGTTACATAGACACAGATTTTGGCTTGATGTGAGGAAAATATTTAACAATATAAATTATCTGAAAGTCGTATTGCTGCCTCAGGAAGTAATGGATTCCCCTCACTAGAGGTTGTCACACAAAGACTGGATATTGTTAGAGATGTTGCAGAGAAGACTCCTGTTTGAGTAGGGGTTGGACAAGGCGATCTTTGAAGTTCCTTTGAGCTCTTTATTGTGACCATATTCTTTTACTTTCAGCCGGAAGGATCAGAGAAGCCTTCATGGAGTTTGTGGTTTAAAAAGCCAGACCATGAATGAAAAGTTTTAGGACTGAAAAAAACAACTACAACCTATCATTTAATGATAGAAATGAAAACGAATTAAGTTATTTAACCACATCACATGACGGTAAAATAATATAATCTGGCAAGGCCAAGATAATAGCTTGATACCTTTTGCTTGCTTTATTAATATTTTAAGAAAGAGAAAGATGCCAGGGCTTTAATATGCGGATAAATACCTTTGCAAGACTAGAATTGCAGTATGGGTTGTGATTTAGCTAAGTGATGTAGAAGAGAGCTAGCTAGCAGGAAATATTTTTTCAATAAAAAATGCTATGTATGGTCTCAGTTATCTGGCAAGCAGGAGGAAGGCCACTTCCTGAAGCAAAGAAGAATTCTTGGAACAAGTATGCTAGGGGGTCTTTACCTGGGGTCCATGACTTAATTTTTTTTTCACAACTATTTCAATAAAACCGGTTTCCTTTGTAATCCTATGTATTTTATTTTATGAATTTAAAAACATTATTCTGGGAAGGGGTTCATAGGCTTCACTAGATTCTGATAAGGACCCAAAATACAAACAAACAAAAAAACCCACAAACAAACAAACATTAAGAATCCGTGAGAAATACAAATCAAGAACTGACTTTTTGGATACATCCAATTTTAATTCTGCTTTTATTATATGCCTACTGTGTACAAGATAGTTATGTTATAAGTTGAAGAGGGTTGAGGGGTAAGGAAGGTTATGTGCTCCAGAAAGACAGCTTTAGGAAAATCCCAGGAAAGAGTATTTGATGAAGTTAATTTGTGAAGTCTTTGGAACATGAAGTGTATTTTAAATTTTGATTGTATAATTAAAAATACTTACTACTACTTCGAAAAACTTCATATTGTGACTTTATATTTCTCAAATAGGATTCAAAGTCTTCTTCTGCCCCTGAACTGTAATAAAGTAAAACATTTTTCTTATATTTACAATAGATTCTGTTTAATATTTGTCGTTATTTATGAAGAATGAGA